CCCTCTTCCAGTAGCTCCTGATTCAAGTCGCTCTCTTTTCCCTATTCTTATTTCCAAGCCAGGATGAGCAAAAATCTCATACATTTACAACATGCTGTGTGCTAACACGACGAATATCACTCTGTCTTCTGCAGCAGAGAAGTACAGAATAGCGCTCTCTTAATAGCAGTCCTCGGAGGGACGCTATCAACAATCTAATTCAGTGCTGCCCTCCCCTTCTCTCCCCCTTTCCCTCCCCTTCACCCTCCTTCACGCCTCCCCTGCCCCCAAACAGCTCACAAATTGCCTAGAGGAGAGACACCAAGCAGGTGTCCAGCAGGGACCCTTCCAGAGCTCAGCGGCGGGTCCGGTAACCTCTAGGGGTTAGTAACTGACAAGGAGGATCAAAAATTCAAGCTGCCGTCAAAGGGAGGTTGACGTATTTCACGAAAGTAACGGCAGATAGAGGCTTCATCTGTATTGTTTTAAAATACTGCCAGAAAATAGCGTTGTAAATGCCCAGAACGCGACTGGGTGTTTCAAGTTTCTGTTTAAAGCACCAAACTCACACACTCTCTACACAATTCAAAGAAGTGAAAATAGGATAAACCGGTATTATGCTGAACTCTTTATTTTCAGGTTGAAGAATTTTATTTCTGATGTAGGCAAGTCGCCATCACTAAATATCTACCCTCAATGCGTCCTTCCACCTTCTACCTGAAAACCAGATTACCCATCTTCATCAAATGCAAGCTTAATAAAGGAGGACCGCCATTGACATGAAAGCCGCTACCTTTTAAAAAACTCATCGCAGGGATGAAAAGCTCATATTTACTTTCAAGTTTATATTCAAACAATAAGCTTGTGCTTCCAACTTAAGTAGCTGGCTTTCATATGCTCTTTCCAAACGATTCCCAGTTTTTGAAAGATTGAGATTTAGTCCCTAAGAGCCTTTCTCATTTGTATTCAAAAAGCACAGGTAGTTATTTCTGTAAGAAAGACACTGCTTTCAAAAATTGCAAAATACGTACTTTCATGTACCAGAATACAGCGTGAAATCACCTAAGGTAATCACAAGTACCTTCAAGAACACATCAATATTCAACAATGTATTTTCCTATGAAATCCAACATATATGTATACGCAGTATATACATTCACGCATACATACCTAAGGAGAGAAAGCTTATTTTGAAACATTGACCAGTAATGCATAAACTTTATTAAATACTAAATAGGCCTCAGCCATCACCACCTCACAAATAATTTTTATTCAATCTATCAGACACAAAAACACTGCACAAAAACTCAGTCAAGCAACTTAAAGGGTTAAATGGTATTTCCAACTCTTTTCAGTACCCCCGCCAAAAAGTGTCTCACAGAAGTCTTCAAAGGAATCAGAGAAAGGAATATTTATCAATATCTTAGTGGCCAAAATACATTTTAAAAGTTTTTTAAAAGTGCCACTAATACAAATAAACTGTAGTCAATATTTTACATTAGAAGGATTTGTATAATAATCTTAATAGTTAAGGAGCAAAAAGGTCCTAGGTACAATTGGCAGTGGTAACTTGTTGGAAACCCCAAGAAGGAAAACACACACAATACGCACGCGTGCACGCACGCGCGCGCGCACACACACACACACACATACACACACACATACTCATCAAGCAAGTTTGGAATGTCTCATTCCAAAGCCCTGAAGCATTCTCAAACATTTAAAAATATAAAACAGCTACAAATTAGCTATATGGAGCAATTTTAGATTTTAGAGAGGAACTTCAATCACTTTCCAGCTTATGAAAATATCACAAAGTAGTCATTGCAAATGTAACTTCTCCTTCTGAGAACAAAGACCCCCAGACCTATGTAAAACCAAGGTAGTTAAGTGTTTTGAGTCTTTATCTGTGAAGACTACTCAATATTTATGAGGGGGAAATAGGGTGAATGTAGAGTTTTCCAAATTTCCAAGAGGGTAACCTCCCAAAACAGGCGAAGATCACTTTATTGCAAAGGTTCTCAAGTTATTATTCTACTACGAACAATCAACTGATTCAAAAAACCAACATAGGGGCTTCCCTGGTGGCGCAGTGGTTGAGAGTCCGCCTGCCGATGCAGGGGAAACGGGTTCGTGCCCCGGTCCGGGAAGATTCCCACATGCCGCGGAGCGGCTGGGCCCGTGAGCCATGGCCACTGGGCCTGCGCGTCCGGAGCCTGTGCTCCACAACGGGAGAGGCCACGGCAGTGAGAGGCCCGCGGACCACAAAAGAAAAAAAAAAAAAAAAAACCAACATATTCTTGGTCTAATCTCATTCGGCTCCAAAGAAATCAACCAATACCACCAAATCAACTCTTAGACTTAATGTTCAGAACCTGTTTTTGTAGCACTCCAACGGTTGTAATATTTGTTCAAAGTGAAAAGAAAGACTGCTTTCTTCCACCCATCCTAAACACTCTTAAAGACCCCAAAACCCGAAAAGCATTATATCTGATGATGAGCATTTATTTATATTCATTTCTTTTGATTTAATAAATCGCTAGAAGTCATTTGTAATTCTTTCTCATGAGCAAACAACCAATACGCCAAAGGCTTTAAAAATAATTCCCTTAACTAGAAATATAGTCCACAAAATATACTTTACACTATTAAATTGCTTAACAACACCATTCCTCATACGTCGTTTAGAAATAAACTTCAGCCAGGTAAAATCACCCCAATTACAAATTAGCAGAGTCCAAATTAATCAGATTTTACTACCCTGATGGCGACTCTAGTAGCAACTACGGAGTGTAATTACCATTACATTCCAGAACTAAAAATGTTTTCACCTACAGAGTGAAAGGAAGAAAATGATTAAATATATATTTTAAATATAATTTTATGCAAGCTCAGTGGTCCCACTACTTTAATATTTAGACTGGGGGGAACCTCCCTGGTGGCGCAGTGGTTAAGAATCCGCCTGCCAATGCAGGGGACACGGGTTCGAGCCCTGGTCCGGGAAGATCCCACATGTCACAGAGCAACTAAGCCCGTGTGCCACAACTACTGAGCCTGAGCTCTAGAACCCACGAGCCACAACTACTGAGCCTGCGTGCTGCAACTACTGAAGCCTGCACGCCTAGAGCCCATGCTCCTCAACAAGAGAAGCCGCCGCAATGAGAAGCCTGCGCACTGCAACCAAGAGTAGTAGCCCCTGCTCACCGCAACTAGAGAAAGCCCACGTGCAGCAATGAAGACCCAACACAGCCAAAAATAAACAAGTTAATTAATTAATTAATTTTAAAAAATATTTAGACTGGGAAATGTCAAAAGCCCTCGTTCACATCACAGGAAACACTGATTTCATTTACAGAACACTTGGTTTCTATTATAGACAACTGCATAAAATGGGATAGAAAGACAACATGCACAAAAGCTCTTCAAAACATTGTATGAACATCAACCACTCAAAAATACCTGTGAATGCGTATTTCAGAGACGTAATAAAGAACAATGTTGGGACTTGGCCAAGGCCATGAAAGGAGTCATTCTTGGCCAAATCTTACAACACAGAATTCCCTGGTTCCCAAAGTAGAAAGAGAAGATTTGTAGAACTTTTACAAATCATCTTGCTCAGTACCCTCATTGTATAGATGAAAAAACTGAAGCCCAGAGAAGTTAACTTGTCACACTACTAGCTAGTAGCAGAACTGGAACTAGAAACCAAATTCCATCTCCTAGTCTAGGACTCCTGCTCTAGAATCCCTACTGTCCTTTCTTCTCAATGAGACGGTTCCAGAAGATGTTTGTTTCCATATGAAGTGAACCACATTCTACAAATGTCTCAATGTATTCAAAAGAACTACGAAGAGTTATTTATTCCTCCAATTATATGTACACTCTAAGACAGACATGGGAAAGAAACACCAAAAATACAAACGTGTGCAGAAAGACCATTTCCAAAATCTTAATTCCAGAAGGTGTTTAAGAGTGATCAGGGAGAAAACGGTGAGTAAAAACCAAGCCAGTCATAGTATGAGAGAAAAGTGAAATATACAGCCAAGAGCCTAATTTTTTTTCTCAATGTAAATGTTTCTAAATAACTTTATATGCAAGTTTAATTTGCTTACTGACTGCTACAGTTTGTCTCCAGTACCACCAACTCGTGAAATGAATTGACTAATATGTCACATATCTGACCTTTCTCCATATTTTCCCAATATTCCCTAAGAACTAACCTACCTTTTTCTTGCAAGTTTTGCTTAATCCTGTGGTAAGTACGACTGAAGAATAATAGCATTAACCATTGTTTGTATGAGCAGGCACTGTGTAATCTTCTGGAGTCCTGACAATGTCCCTTCAGACTAATCTGGGAGATCCATGTTATTCCTGTTGCTCAGACAAGACTGTAGATCATGCCAAATCGTGTGCTCTGTTTATATTCTACCAATCAGTAAAAGTACTTGGATGGCAACCAAGTAGGACTGTTGTTAAACCCTTTAAAGCATACAAAAAGTTAACTTCTAGACAACAGAGCACAATTCTTAATACATTCAGGGCTCCTCATTACAGGAAATAGAACTGTTCACGCGAATGGCTATATATACTGAGGTGTGTGTGTGTCTCCTTTTCATTTGTTTTAGGAAACTGAATATCAAATACATTAAAAATTTCTTACTAGATACTCTGATATGTAGCCTTGCTAAGATCAAAATGTGAACTCCTAGACATTTCTCAAAGACAGCTGCTTTAGAAAGTCATTATTTCATCTTTTATAAGCACCTTCTCACAAATCAATTTCCTTAACGGAACTGTGTGGACTCTTACGGTCCCACAAAGAATTTACATAGATTATTGTAACCATGACTATGCCTTGGATTACTGTAGGACCTATCTCCTTCACAATACAA